AACAGTGTCCGCAATCCCCTCTCCCTGGAGCCACTCAGTCACTGCATTCCTCCTCACCCGAGTAGAAAAGCAATCTGGAGAGCCTACTATGGGGCTGATTGCCGGCCCACTCTGTGCCTAGGGAGAAGTCCCCTGTCCTGGGATGCCACCAGTTACACAGGGCCTCCTCTGGGGACAAGAGGGCACCCGTCAAGGTCTAGTTCTCTGGTCTCGGGTGGCCCAGAAATACAGGGAAACAACCTGCTCACAGGAGAGCTCACCAGCTCAGTTTCCAGGTTTGATCTAGTCAGAGGTGCCTTGAATACAGCCCCAGGGAGCCACTGTCCCAAGAAAACGGACCATTCAAGATCCACCTTCTCTTGCCTTTTGGCATCTCCAGTCCCACCAAGAGTTTGTTCCCACCAGAAGCCAGCTGTCCAGTTGACAAGTGTCACAGAAGGGCTCTGCCTAAAAGCTGTGAAAAGAACGGTGGCTAACTGGAAGAGAAAAGCCCTTGGAGCCTAGAGGCCAGTGAAAACCTCTGGCTCTGACCCTGGAGCCACAGTCAGACCAGGGAGGAAGTCTTAGTCTACACATGAGGAAACTGAAATCAGTTTTCTGAACACCATAGCTATACTATACTCAGAGAGAGTTATGTGGTCACAGGCTGCCTATCTGGTTTTCAGAATGGTGTTATCCCTCAAGTAGATGATTTCATCACCTTTGGTACAATCAGTAGGTACCTCATTATGTGTTTGTGCCTGTGTGTAAGTATGTGTTTTTGTGTGCCTTACTTTTCCTGTAAATGTGGGAGATTTTCTTGTTGTATGTATGTGTGAGCATGTGTGTGTTTTAGTTGCAGCTCCCAGGTATCTTGACGTAAGGAGGAACTCAAAGGGAAGTACGTCAAAGTTGCTATGAGATAGTACAAGAAAGAGGATTCTCGTTCTGTCCTGGAGGCTCATGTGTGGGTGCTGGGCTTAGAGCAGTTCAAGTGGAGACAGACTTATTGAAGTAGGGCATCTCCCTTGTGTTGTGCCCAATTCAGACTTTTGCTTATTTCCACTGCTGTCAGCTAAGACAACATCCAGATATGTATGCACACACTAGGGTCATCTGCTCTTGACTGAAGAGCCGTAGTCATGCAGAAGTGTATTTGTGAATTAGTTAAACTGCTTTCGCTGCTAGTGCGTCATTCACGCAATCATCCTCGCAAGATCTATGGATTCACACATGAAAGGCACATACACACCAGTTAATTTTTATATGCCTTGACTATCTCAGTATTTGGGTACATCTAATCCTCCCCGCATCTAGCACACACTTCACTTCAGTATTCCTTTGTTAACATCTTTTAAAATCTATATTTCATCTCTGCTATTCAGACCCAATGGGAGGAATGGCCCCCTAGGGCCACTTTCTTGGAATCTTAAATGATCTTGGGCCTTTAAGTCCGTTGTTGCTCCCTAATCATGGCCTCTCCTATTTCTTTCTCCTTGGTCCTTGCAATTTAAATGTCCTGTGTCCATCTCCCTTCCCAGGCATTGGCTGTAAGGCAATTCTTTATTACCAATCCAGGCAAGTTGGGGACAGGTACCCTCAGCATCTGGAAACCTGGCTTTTGGGAGCTGAATGATACAAAATACTAGAAGAAATCCCCAACACAAGTCAGTGTTGGGTATATTAGTAAGTTTTAAAAGTACATTTCTAGAGAACTTGTCTGAAGTTAATCAGCCCACGGAGAGAATCCTCAAGGAACTGGAGAGTCTGGAGGCTCTTATCCGTAACTGACTCCTCTCCATGAAAGATTTTTTATTTTTATATCTTTTTAACGTTAGGGCAAAATGCCTACTTTCTTCTGGATTTTGTGCAAGCCACCCACCACTGATTCTTCCCAAATGGGCGGAGTCCAAGTCCACCTCTGGACCGCAGTCTAAGGATCTTTATCATAATTCTGAGATGGATCCATCCATGGACAGGAGCAGCCACATCTGACAGAGCAGAGAGGAAGTGCATCCCAGCGCTGGACTGTGGACTCCATGCTTCTCAGCCTCTCCATGTGTCTGCTTGTCTGGTTATAAAAGCAAGGTGAGCCCACTATGGTGTTAGGTACTGGTGGTAAGGTACAAAGCCTGGCTGTTGGCATATGCTCATGGTGGCAGTGGTGTGTGTGTGTTGCCCATAAGTCAATGTTGGGTTTCTTCCTTTAGCCATCTCTACCTTAGTTTTTGAGACAGGGTTACTTGCTGAACCTTGTCCTTGCTGACCCAGATAAATGATCTGGGTACTGAATCCTAAGGACACCTGGTCTCTGTCTCTCCAGCACCAGGATTACAGTTGCATGCTGCCACACCTGTTTTAAAATTTATTTTATTTTTATATGTGTATGAGTGTTTTTATTGTGTGTATATATGAGCTGTGTGTGTGTGTGTTGCCCACAGATGCCAGAAGAGGGCATCTGATCCCCAGGAACTGTTGTGAGCTGTCATGTGTGTGCTAAAGCCATACCTGGATCTTCTGCAAGAGCAGCCAGGGTTCTTAACTACGGAGCCATCTCTCCAGCCCCACTGTTTAGATTTATTTCGTGTGTGTGTGTGTCCTTTATGTATGCATGTACACCAAGTGTGTGCCTTGTGCCTGAGGAGACTAGAAGAAGGGGTTGGATCCCCTAAAACTAGAGTTATAGATGCTTGTGAGTTGTCATGTAGCAAGTGGAAACTGAACCTGGGTCCTCTATATGATTAGGCCATGCTCTTAACTACCAAGCCGTTACTCTGGCCCCAATGCTTTGTTCTTAGGTTTATGTGAAAGCCTCCTGTGTAAGTGCTGGAAACTCTGAGCATTGTCGCAGGGCATCGTATGTTCTGTAGCTGACAACTTATATTCACTGTTCCCTTCTTGTCCTTGTCAGACCCAAGTCAAAGCTCCTTTCTCAGCATAGCCCAAGACTCCCCGAAGCTTGAGCATGAAGTGTGTCCCAGAATGCAAGAAGGAGTAAGACGCTACTTAGAACCAACACCAACCACCACTAGGGGCAGCAGCTGAGGGCTAGCCATGGCCTTTCCATTTCCCCCCCCCACCCCCCCCTGCATGTTCTAGAAAACAAAAGTCTTTTTAAAGGACATATATAAATTTGAATAAAAACCAGACAGAAATATTTGTCAGGCTTTCATTTCTGTCTGTTCCTCCACCCTGTGAGACTCAGAAAAGTAGACACAAAGTAGCCATGTAACAGTATCCTTCCAAATGTCGTGTTTTAGGTAAGCAAAAATATCTCATTTGGACAGATCATGCAAACAAGAACAGACACAAAAGACCAGCTTTTACAGGGGTTCCTACTTGCAACACACATTAATGTTTAACATTACGTTTTAAAATAGAAATTGCAACCTGACTGTGGAATAAATAAAACCAGACACTCTCATACCTTCAACAAGGTTCACTTAGAATGTGTGACTAGAAACCACAGTCTCACAGAGAAACGCACATGTGTCCCTTCTGAGGGTCACCCTCTCTAGACAGATGTGCTCCATGCCAGCTACTGGGGACATTGTCCCTTCTCCCAGAGAACGCTGTGAGTACATGACAGGGGGCATTGCTTTCTTTTTTGAGAAGACAAGTGACAAGGAGCTGGGGCCATACAAAGTTCTCATCTCAAGTTTCTGACGTGACAAATGATCCCAGGAACTTCTTTTCCCTTGGCTATTACCCAGCTCGTCATGTCAGGGGCCTGGAGTGAGAGCCCCCTGGTGGAGTCTTCAAGAAACAAGGCTTTCTTGCCTTTCCTTTGCTTAAAATACAACCATTCAGAAACCACTTCCTTATCCTCTTGACACTTGAGGACAGTTTTTGTTACTGTGTGGTTGTTGTTGCTGCCACCATTTTAAGAGCCAAAAAGAACTGAGAGTTGAAAATGACGGACTCACAAGCTGCCTAATTTCCTAGCAACTCTGAGACACGGGTAAGGCAGGTTGCACGGTGGGGCAGACAGCTCCGGAAAAAGCTCTAAGAGAGGCGAGGCTCAGAAGGACTGTTTTGAGAAGTGTGGCTGCCCTAGAATAGCTGCCATGCCTCTCTAGGTGACCCCTGGAAGTGGACAGCATCTGTGTGCAGTCTCTGCAGTCACAGAGCTTTCGTTCTGGAAGTCTGAGTCCAGGCTAACCCTACAGAAGAACTGTGACCACACATTCCCACTTCAGTTACTAAGGAACTTAAGTCAGAGAGTTTGACTTCCAAGGAGTATCTGAGACTCCCACAGTCCCTGAGGGCCAGGCGTGCTTTGCCTGGGTCTCTTTCAGATGCTCTGCATTCTGCCCAGGGCACAATCGCTCTGCTGCCTTCTTTCCTTCTGACAGTCCCTGGGAATGCCTTCACACTGCTCAGCCCAGGACCTCAGATTCCACTTCCTAATGCTCAGGGGTCTATTGACACCCATGCTTTCTTCCTCTGGTTCCCTCTTGGACATCAGATGTTGTCCAAGACTTGGTACGCCCTTAGGAACGAATGTGCAGAATTTTCTTGAATGTCTTCTTGAAGTTCTCATTGCACAGGGGGTAAATGAGGGGGTTCAGTGTGGAGTTGATGTAGCCCAGCCAAATGGTGAACATGTGCACAGGTTCACTGCAGCAGCTCTTGCAGAAGGCAATGACCATGAAGAAGATGAAATAGGGAATCCAGCAGAGGATGAAGGCTGCCATGATAAAACCCAACTGCTTGGCCGCCTTCCGCTCTCGGTTCAAGTGCAGCCCAGACACGTACTGTCTGGAATGTGAGCGGAGCCTTTTCCAGGTGATTTTGATGTAATCCAGACCACTGTTAGACCCACTTCTTGGTTTGACTCTGCCCAGCCCTGGTTCTATGCTGATGTCTGAGTCTGTGGTCCGGGAGAAGGACTGTCGATCCACTAGGGTCTGGTCCTCTGATGTCTCACTGATCCGCCGACAAGTATTCAGGCTCTGCTCATCCATTTTGGGCTGGCTCAAGGCCTGGTCATTGGCCTTTGAGCCCCTGACATCTCCCTCACCCACAGACTGTGTCTGCATGATATCGAGATGGAAACAGGGACGTGTGACTGTTTCCCTTTCCCCCTCTTGACTGAAGGCAGTCGAAGAGGTCATCTTGGGGTCGTCAGATGTTGACTTCTGATCCAGTCCTCCACTAGGGTCTCTTGAAGGCCTTTTCAGAACTCCCCAGGGAGACTCTTTCCCAGGTTTCTTGGCACCCTCCTTAGTATCCTCTGACCTCAGCTTGATTTCTAAAAAGGAAGGGAGGGAGCCGTTGGTGAGCTGGCGGTGCTGGCAGTGTCGCCGTACAGCCTTGTAGATCTTCACATAGAACCACAGCATGAGCACGGTGGGGAGGTAGAAGTTGATAATGGCGGTCATGATCTTGAACCAAGTGACATTGTAGAAGTCTGTCTCACACTTGTCTTCCCGAAGCTCTGGGGCTGACGACATGAAGTGATGCCAACCAAGTATGGGTATAACCCACAGGAAGGAGAGGAACCAGGCCCCCAGGATGGTAGCTGAAGCGCGGGGCTTGGTTCGATACCTCAGGTACCGGAGGGGTTGCTGGACGGAGCGGTAGCGATCAATACACAGGATGAAGACGCTAAAGATGGATGCCGTACTGGCCACATAATCCATAGAGAGCCAAAAGAGGCAGAGGGGGCGGCCCAGGGACCACTTGGTCATGATGAGATAGATGATGTTCATGGGCATGACGACGGCCCCTACAATCAGGTCTGCTACCGACAGGCTGACAATGTACAGGTTGCCCACCGTGTGTAGCTTGCGCTCACTGCGCACTGCATACAGCACCAGCAGGTTGAGGCCCACTGTGACCAGGGAGATACTACTTAGAACTACCACCAGGGGCAGCAGCTGAGGGCTAGCCATGGTCGTCCTGTTCCCCTCACACATCTTGTCTTCAAAGGCAGAGGAGGTGTTGGGAAGGCTCATTGGCACAAGGGCAGCCTCCAGAGATGGCTCCCTTCCTGGGAGAAAAGACACAAGATCAAGGTCAGAGGTCAAGATGATCAGAGGTCACCTACGAGCATCATGCTGGTCAGACTGGGAGTGGAAGCTGCTGGGGGCAGTGGACCCCTATCCCTCCATCAGGACCATGTATTCACTCAGGTGTTCCTGCAGTCCTCACATTCCACCAGGGACTAGTTGCTGGGTTCCTGGCATTATTCTGGATATCAGAGATACCACCATGGACAAATCAGAGGAAAAAAAAAATCTGATCTTGTGGAGTTTGGGTACCAGGGTTTAACCAGAATAGAGTGATCAGTACCTTGTACAAGTATTATTTCGAACATGTCCTGAATGCCCTGAGCAGTCTCATCCTCTTTGATGGCCCTGAGACAAAACTATAGCCAGAAAGAGGCTACAGGGCTCAAAAGCATTCTCCCTCTATGACAAAGATGCCAAGTTATGAAAATCATCCTTTCCCTCTACCCTATTCCTGAAAGGAAGTGAGGAAGGGGTGTTTGGGTGTGTCAGTCATATTGGTCATGTATGTCAAGAAAACCTCAGGATTCTGTTGCCACACTGCTGCTGAAGTAACTCAGCAATCTTGCTCATATAGTAGCAAAATGTGTTCTTTGCTTAAGCCACTGCCCAAGAATTGTTGTTGGAAGAGGACAGCTGTTGGAGGGAAGCAGGCAGGAGGGAGCTGATGGGGTGAAGCTGTTTGGAAGCACTTGGAAAGAAAGCCCTGTGCAGAGCTCACACAGTGAGACCAGAGGAATGCCTGCAGTTCCCTGGAAGTGGAAAAGCCTTGGGGAGCTCTGTGAGCCGGCTGTGAGCCCAGAAAAACCTGGCCACACAGGGAGCTCAGCAAACAGCACTGGCCTGAGAAAGGCTGCTCCAATTCCAAGAAAGGAGGGGGAGCCTTAGAGACAGGCTTGAGGGAATGCTGGAGACTTCCCAAGAAAAAGAGATGCCTCAGGGACCCATGGGTTCAAGGCCTGGAGCGTATGGACACACAGAACTGCAAAGGGCCATGAGAGAGATTTCCTCCACTCCATGCCCTACTCAGGGCCAGCTACTTTAAAATAAAAGGAAACAAAATACAAAAGTTCTAATAAAATGGACAAAAAAGAAAAATGTTTTCCAATACTGGGAATCAAACTTAGAGTGTCACCCTCTCCAGAAAGCGCTCTGCCACCAAACCTCAAGGTTTAAATAAAAATGTCTAAATTATCAAGAATTTGGTGTCAGGAGATGCAGAGCATCCCAACATCTGAGGATCCTTCTGGGCAGCTGCAGGGATACAGGGTCACAGTGGCTGGGAAGTACCTATGCTGTAGACAGGACCTAGCCAGTAAACACCAAGCCAGTGTGCACCTCCCTCCTTCCACATCCGCAGTTTGAAGAGCAGATCCACAACAGTTTCTAAAAGAGGGCCAGGCACTTGTGGTGAGTGGGGGAGACATGCTAACACAGACCCCATCTGGACTCACAGCCCACAGAGACTACAGAGGAGACAAGACCCTGTCCAGTCTTATTTCTTACAAGAGACTGTGAACAGATGGGTACACACAGAGACAGGGACTCCCGCCCCCCATTTTCATATCAAAGTGGGGACTGAAGAGAACATGGGGGACACGGGCTCCCATCTGATCTCACATAACACAGGAGACTGAAGAGAAAGGGAGGGGCATGTAGAGACAGGGGCCTGCAGAGAAGATGAGGGTGGGGACACGAATCCCTTCAGCCTCATACACTGCCCTTGTCCCCAGGAGACTGAGCAGCCTAGATTCTGGCAAGGTATCTTTATATCAAAAGCAGAAAAAATGCCCCCTCCTTTCCTCTCTCCCTTTCTCCATGCTAAGAAGCCAACATCCTTCTGAATTACAGTGGTGGATACAGACCAAAGCCATCAGGAGGGGCAGGCTCTTTAGTGATTACAAATAGTAAAATCCAATCAAGTTCAAATACCGTGAAACAAGCCCAAGGTCAATGTTCCTTTCACATTGTGGACCACAGACAGTAAGAAGCCAAGCCCTGGGCATCTCTCCAACATCTGTTATATTAATCTGAGTAGCCCACACTCAGAGAAGCCAAGAAATTTACCCAAACCCACGCAGCTTGAGAGTGTTTGCAGAGACTGTGGTCTAAGTGTACTCCCTTTGGGTCTCTGGCATTTGGGAGATGCCTTACTCTGTGGTAGGGTCTGCCCATGCCTGATCTGTGCAAACATCCCCAGCTTCTGTGCATGGGTTATCAGTAGCAGAAACCTCCCAGAGTGACAACCACATATCTGATGTCAGATAGTCCCTGGGGTACAGAAGAAAATGTGTCCAGAGCAATGGCACATTTGTCTAGCCTAGGGCACAACATGCATCTCATAGTAAGGGGGACTTGCTTGTGTTGTGGGTTTATAAAGGGTGTGTGTGTGTGTCCATGCATCTGTGCTTATGTGCATATGTGCAGGTATTCTCAGAGGCTCGGAGAGTCCATTGGATGCCATGGAGCTGTCAATACAAGCAGCTGAAGACTGCTGGACTTGGGTGCTGGGATCCTTTGCAAGAGCAGTTCACACTCTTTGACACAGAGCCATGTCCTCAGTCCTTGTTTTGGTTTTTGAGACAGGTGCTTATGTAACCCATGGTAGCCTCCAATTCAAACTCCCTATACGACCCTGAACTTCTCATCCTCTTATCTCCATCTTCTGAGTTCTAGGATGAGGGGCATGTGTCACCATGCTCAGTTTTAGGCAGTCCTGGGGACAGAACCCATGGCCTCCTGAATGCTAGGCAACTTCCCAAATGCTGCCAACTGAGCCACATCCCCAAGCCCAATACGGATTCTTCATGAGTCAGATCTTATCTAGTAAAGCCAGGAGTTACCTTGAAAAACCTAAGCTCTCCTTTAATGGGAAGCACATGGCAAGAGGTAGCTTCCACATAATCTAAATTAAATGACATCCATCTTTCTCAAAGCTAATGAGCTGACTAAAACCTGCAATGGTGGCTTCCAATGTAGCATTCAAGGCACTTAGTACTGTGTCTGGCATGCAGCAGGTGCACAGTTGCTGCAACCACCATAATTCCCAACAGCCATGGCTGCCCCATCTAGCTAAAGAGACCCCCTTCTCTTCTTGGTTGTGCTTTGGCTTGCTCTCATTTATTTATTTGCTTGCTTATTTATTTATTTATTTATTTAGACAGGATCTTAATATGTAGACCAGGATGGCCTTAATCTCACAAGAGATCTACCTGCCTCTGTCTCCCAAGTGCTGGGATTAAAGGCACGTGCCAGCACTAACTTGAACCTCAGAAATTATTTCTCTTACTGATGAGTATTGTTCCATGCCATTTAGACAACTTGCCTAAATGCTTCTTTGGAAGCTTCAGAGTTAGAAAAATCTTTCACAGTAATCTGAAACATGAACAAAGATGTAGACCCAAGGTGGGTAATTTCAGCACCTGCAAAGTAGAGGCAAGACAGAATTAAAGGTCATCTCTGGCTATTAATGACCTAAAAAAAAATCCAGAAAACAAATAAACAGATCTCCACTGTGTTAGTTCCCCAAAAGACTGACCTGCAAGTTCATGGTTTGTATACGGATGCAGACCAGCCTATAAGGGTTTCTAGTCACCAACATGGGAGGGGCCTAATGGGTCCTCCAACTCCCTGGGGAACTGCTCATCTTTGTATCAAGGTAGATCGTCAAATCTTGGAAGAGCCATTGGTACTGACACCTGAACCTGACTCTGGGCTGTCTCTGGCTTCCTGTTGGATCCCAGCACCCAAGTCCAGCAGTCTTCAGCTGCTTGTATTGACAAATCCATGGCATCCAATGGACTCTCCGAGCCTCTGAGAATACCTGCACATAAGCACAGATGCATGGGCTCACGGATGCATGGGCGCACAGATGCATGAACACACACACAGCCTTTATAAACCCACAACACAAGCAGGTCCCACTTACTATGAGATGCATGTTGTGCCCTAGGCTAGACAAATGTGCCATTGCTCTGGACACATTTTCTTCTGTACCCCAGGGACTATCTGACATCAGATATGTGGTTGTCACTCTGGGGGGTTTCTGCTACTGATATCTCATGCACAGAAGCTGGGGATGTTTGCACAGACCAGGCATGGGCAGACCCTACCCCATGGTATGGCCTTTGCCTTCTACACATGCACCAAAGCTGCCCACACCAGAGGCTACTGCACTGGAAATGCCTAACCTTGGCGATTTGATCACCTGAATTCTGAGCTGCATCAATCTTTTTTCTCTATACTTAGCCTGACTCGGGCATTTTGTTACAGTAACAGAGAGTGAGGATCACCAGAGCAGAGACTATCATGTAGTCACTGGTAGCCAGTCTTAAATCACTCATGACAATATAGGCAAAATCTGAGGGCAAAATTAAATCTTCAGGGTGTTGTTTGTACAGGCTGGGGCCAATTCTACTGACCAAACGGCTCCCAGAGAGGGCAGACCTCTGTTGCACTCATGGCTCTCTCTGGGCTGTGAAAAACATCTTTAATATTTCCCAAGGTGTCAAGAAATGAGATTTGACTTAACTGTGATAGGAAAAATAAGGGCACATCAACCACATTTGTTTTCTAAAACACAGGAAAAATAAATTTCATTTAAAAATAATAAAACAACGGGTTTCTTTTCTTTTTTCTTTCTTTCTTTTTTTTTTAAGGCTTACATTCTCTAGAAGGAATGAGAATCCAGGATTCTCTTTGGGCACATTCTGAACTGATCTCCGTTCCAGCCTGCTCTCCTCACTTGCGTAGATGACACTTCTAGTTCAACAAGCAAAAGCATTCATTTCTTGGCTCCCATTCCAAGTAAAAAGCACCACGGGCAAGGCTGGGCAAGGCTGTGCCAAGGACAGCATAGCCTCCTCGCGTCTGGGAGGGTAATTTCCACAACGCCCCAAGCTTGGCAGAGCATCTTCTGTGTGTACAGAGCAGATGTCAGTAGTGGG